CGCACATCAGGGGCACTTGGGGGGCAGAGAGATTTTCCTGCACATTTGGGGCAGTCTCCAAGTGTGCAGAAAAATCTAAAAACTTTTTAAAAGGATATGGGGGATATTTAAATCCCCCCAAAGTATAACAATATAAAAATACCAGGAGCTGCAGTGGCTCAAGTGGTTAAGATGCTGAACTGCAGGCTGCGGAAGGTCAGTAGTTCAGCAGTTCGAGACCCAAGTGCCGCATGATGGAGTGAGCTTCCATCTCTAGTTCTAGCTCCTGCCAACCTAGCAGTTTGAAAGCAAGAAATTGCAAGTAGATAAATAGGTACCACTTCGGTGGGAAGGTAACAGCGTTCCGTGTGCCTTGGTGTTTAGTCATGCCTGCCACATGACCACGGAAACGTCTTCGGACAGCGCTGGCTCTTCGGCTTTGAAACGGAGATGAGCACTGCAACCCTAGAGTCGGATTCGACTGGCTTTCGAGCAAGGGAGACCTTTACCTTTACCTTTTTAAAGTACAACAGCTTTTCCTGCTCATGTGCCGAGAAATGACTTACCAACGACGAGGCGCTATCTCTCACCCTCCCTCCCTCTCCTCGGAAAGTGACTGTTCTGAGCATGTGACTGCCCTTAGCAAAAGCTTTCTTAGCGATGAGGCCTTTGCAGGCTTTTCCGCTTTTGGGACGCCGGGAACAAAGAGGGACGAAAAGCGGCGGATAGCTTTACGGCTGAGCCTGCGCTGGCTCGGCCTCCCAGGCACTGCCACCGCTGCCGGGCTCAAAGTTAGGGGAAAAGGAGGGTAGAAAGAAGGGGGTGATTGGCTTGGGGGGGAAAGAGAAAGGGAAAGATAGGGGTATTTGCTTGGGGGGTGAGAAAGAAGGGGGATGGCTTGCGGGGGGGAGAGCAAGAGAGAGAGAGATCGACTTGGTAAAGAAAACGGAGGGATTGGCTTGGGGACGGGGAGAGGGAAGGAAGCAAAGGTGGTGGGGGAATGCCTCCTCCCCGCAAGTTTCTTGTAGGTCCAGCCTTGTAGTAGTAGTAGTAATAGTAGTAGTAGTAGTAGTAGTAGTAGTACTTGACTACGAAAAAATGCATAAAGACTATCGCTTTCTTCTTCACTGAACCAGCAGTCAACTGACAATGACTGGCCGCTACCGGTAGGCACTAGAGAGGCATCTTCTGTCCAGAATCAGGAAGTTGTAATCTTGACAACTCGAAGTTCATGTCTGAGCAGCAGAGCTTCTGACTGGCCACCAGAGATCTGATTAGTTGGGCAGATTTTTTTTTTAGTTGCTTACCTGCAATCGTTCGGCGAAGTTGTGTGTATGCTAGAATATATTTTTAAATATCCATACTTTTTAAAAGGCATCCTGCCTTGCCTGAAGTGTTGAAAAGCTATGATTAGTTTTATCCATGACCTACGTCCCTGACATTTTGTGGTTCGCTCCCCCTCCAGCAGCCATTTTGTGGTTGCGCCCACCACCACCATGTGTCAGAATTCCAAAGATACCCACACAGCTCAAAAGGGCTGGAGACCCCTGTGGTAGACATTCCTTAAATCTTTTGAGAGTCCATCATCACGGACTCCTGAGTAATCTTGAATGGTCATGGTATAAGTAACATGACTTTTTGAGGATCAGTAGTTGTCCGTGATTATTCAGTTGATAATGAAACTGCGGTGGCTCAAGTGGTTAAGACGCTGAACTGCAGGCTGTGGAAGGTCAGTAGTTCAGCAGTTCAAGACCCGGGTGCCGCAAGACGGGGTGAGCTCCTGTCTCTAGTTCCAGCTCCTGCCAACCTAGCAGTTCGAAAGCAAGAAATTGCAAGTAGATAAATAGGTACCACTTCGGTGGGAAGGTAACAGCGTTCCGTGCGCCTTGGTGTCTAGTCATGCCGGCCACATGACCACGGAAACGTCTTCGGACAGCGCTGGCTCTTCGGCTTTGAAACGGAGATGAGCACCGCAACCCTAGAGTCGGATTCGACTGGCTTTCGAGCAAGGGAACCTTTACCTTTTACTAATGAAACTGAAGCTCAAATACTTTGGCCACCCAATGAGAAGGGAGCCCTCACTGGAGAAGACCCCGATGCTGGGAAAGATTGAAGGTCAAAGAAGATGGGTGCGGCAAAGGATGAGATGGTTAGACAGTGTCATAGATGCAACGAACATGAAATTGAGCATACTTCAGAGGACGGCGGAGGACAGGAGGGCCTGGCGGGAGCTGGTCCATGGGGTTGCGAAGAGTCGGACTCGACTGTGCGACTGAACAACAAAAGTTGTCCGAAGCAGGAATAAACTGTCAGTTTTGACAACAGAAAGAAGAAAGTTCTGGGGTTCCATAAGGGTCTGCAGTGGGCCCACACCTGTTTAACTTTCATAAGTGATATGAATCTGGAGTAAACAATGAGACAGCCAAGTTTGCAGCTGACATCAAGTTAATTAAAGTGACTGTCAGGATTCAAGGCCATCCCCACCTGCTGAGATCCCCAGTGATAGGAGCAGCCCAGGATGACTAGGCGGCAGAAGGCTGCACACTGAGGCGAGGATCCAGGAAATAGCTGTGGGTGGAGAGTGAGCTACATTTCAG